AGTGTTACCCCAGCGCACGAGGTGGCGATGCAGCCTGCGACGACCGCGCTGGAGCATGCTTGGGCGAAGCAGTCAGACGCACTGAACCCCGCCACGGCTCCCAGTTGCCCCATCCACACTGGCTCGGTGACGACCCCAATGCTACAGCCACATGCAGGCACACATGCCGTGCCTGTATACATATATTTGTATGTATATACAATACACATGGACACATACACAAACACCAGCTCAGTTGTATACATACGTACAGAACAATGCACATGCGGACACACATGTGCGTGTTTGTGTGTAAGTGTATGGGCATGTGTATGTGCATTTGCACGTCAATTGTGTGTACGTCTATGTGTCTGTGCCTGAGAGGAGGAGTATGTACGCGTGTGTGTACCTGTGTATGCACGCATGTATCATGTACGTATGTACGTATGTGTGTGTGTGTGTGTGCATGTAGGTGTCCATGCCTGCGTGCCTGCATGTATGCATTTGTGTGTGCATGGGTGCTGTCGCAGTCTCGCCTTTTCCAGTTGCTGCTGCAAGCCCCGGGCGGCCCGCGAGGCCCAGCCGGAGAGGCGCCAATCACGGCCCCAGAATGCGCCGAGGGGGCCCCAAGGGACGCCCCAAGAGGGCCCCAAGACGACCCAAGGAGCCCCCCAAGACGGCCAGACGGGCTTTCCAACGAAGGCCCCAGGGGAGGCCCAAGAGGGGGAAACTCGCTGGGGCCCTGGGAGCCCTCCCCTCCCCAAAAAAGCCAGGAGGGGAAAAAACACACAGGCACAATCAATCGTCGACACCCAGGAATATATAGGGAAATATGGGAAGTGGTGGGGAAGACGAAAATCCAAAAAATATGAGAATATCGCGAATCCTGGGATTTGTGTGTAGTTATTTGTGTGACCCTGGGCCCCTTCAAAGACGGCCCCAAGACCCCGCAGCAGACGTGAGACACCCGTGAGGGGTGTGCCGAAATAGATACGGCGGACGCACGTAGACGGTGGCACTGGTGGAGCCCCCTTTATGAGGCCACGAAACATGTGAGAAATGTGCGGCCATGGGTGCAGGGGACGCGTGTGGACGGTGGCATTGGGGCCTTCGGTGGAGCTCCCTATGGGGACAAGAAGCGTTTGAGGGGTGTGCCGAAATGGGTGTGGGGGACGCAAGAAACGGTGGCACTGGGGCCTTCGGTGGAGCTCCCTATGGGGCCACGAAGCGTGTGAGGGGTGTGCCGACATGGGTGTGGGGGACGCATGTGGACGGTGGCGCGGGGGCCTTCGGTGGAGCTCCCCATGGGGCCACGAAGCGTGTGAGGGGTGTGCCGAAATGGGTATAGGGGACGCGTGTAGCCGGTGGCGCTCGGACCTTCGGTGGAGCTTCCTGTGGGGCCACGAAACGTGTGAGGGGTGTGCGGCCATGGGTGCGGAGGACAAGTGGACGGTGGCACTTGGGCCTTCGGTGGAGCTCCCTATGTGGCCACGCAACGCGTGAGAGGTGTGCCGAAATGGATGTGGGGGACGCATGTGGACGGTGGCACTTGGGCCTTCGGTGAAGCTCCCCATGGGGCCACGAAACGTGTGAGGGGTGTGCCGAAATGGGTGTGGGGGACGCATGTGGACGGTGGCGCGAGGCCCTTCGGTGGAACTCCCTGTTGGGCCACGAAGCGCGTGAGGGGTGTGCCGACATGGGTGTGGGGGACACAAGTGGACGGTGGCATTCGGCCCTTCGGTGGAGCTCCCTGTCGGGCCACGAAGCGCGTGAGGGGTGTGCCGACATGGGTGTGGGGGACGCATGTGGACGGTGGCACTTGGGCCTTCGGTGGAGCTCCCTATGGGGCCACGAAGCGTGTGAGGGATTTGCCGAAATGGGTGCGGGGGACGCATGTGGACTGTGGCACTTGGGCCTTCGGTGGAGCTCCCTATGGGGCCACAACATGCGCGAGGGGTGTGCCGACATGGGTGTGGGGGGCGCAAGAAACGGTGGCGCAGGGGCCTTCGGTGGAGCTCCCTATGGGGCCACGAAACGTGTGAGGGGTGTGCCGACATGGGTGTGGAGGACGCATGTGGACGGTGGCACTTGGGCCTTCGGTAGAGCTCCCCTGTGGGGCCACGAAACGTGTGAGGGGTGTGCCGAAATGGGTGTGGGGGACGCATGTAGCCGGTGGCGCTCGGACCTTCGGTGGAGCTTCCTATGGGGCCACGAAACGTGTGAGGGGTGCAGCAATGGGTATAGGGGACGCATGTGGACGGTGGCGCGGGGCCCTTCGGTGGAACTCCCCATGGGGCCACGAAATGTGTGAGGGGTGTGCCGAAATGGGTGTGGGGGACGCATGTGGACGGTGGCACTTGGGCCTTCAGTGGAGCTCCCTGTGGGGCCACGAAACGTGTGAGGGGTCTGTCGGCATGGGTGTGGGGGACGCGTGTGGACGGTGGCGCGGGGCCCTTCGGTGGAGCTCCCTATGGGGCCACGAAACGTGTGAGGGGTGGGTGTGCCGAAATGGGTGTGGGGACGCATGTGGACGGTAGCACTGGAGCCTCCGGTGGAGCTCCCTATGGGGTCACGAAACGTTGTATTGGGTGGGTGAAACGCAGGGAGGAGGGAGGAGGGGGAGGGAGGAGGGAGGGAGGAGGAGGAAGGCGGGGACCGTCTCTTCAAAAGAGGACCCAACACCACATGATGGTTGAGAATAACGGTGAGGTCGGCGGAATGGTTGTGGGACTGCAGCATATAGCTCGACCGACATATGGTGTTTGATGCGTATATGTATGTATGTATATATATATATATATATATGTGATTGCATTGGCACTTCGCGCCATGCACCTTGGTCCTTGAAGTTTGTCATGCAGGCGGAATTGCAGGAAGGTCCAACAGACAATGTAGCGTCAACTCCGTGTTGCTCTTTTTGGCATCGCCGTTATAATAATGTGATTCGTGATCCTGTCTCCATGTTTCTTTTACCTCATTCTCGCCGTACCCTGCGAATTGTTCCCCATCCTCTTCAGCTCTTTTTGCGGAGGAGGAGGCTGCTCCCTGGAGAGCCCTTGGGGGCCTCACGGAAGTTGTTCGGGCGTTCGTGAGGTTTTCTGGAGGCCTCCTGGGCGTCTTTTGGGGGCCTCTGGGGGCTTCCTCGGGCCACCCTGTCTCCAACCGCGGTCTCCCTGAACGACCGGGTCACGATTTGAACGGCTTCGAAGGTACATTGGGGATATCTTGGGCCGTCATGGGGCTTTTTTTATGCCATCTTGGAACCTTGTTGTGCCGTCTTGGGGCTCTCTTGGACTGCCTGGAAGCCCTGTCGGATGGTTTCGGGACGATTTTCGAGCCTCCCAGACAGACTCGGACCCCCAGAAGACCGAAGAACAGGGTATTCCCAAAATCACACAAGAACCTTGGGAGTTCAAGTTTTTTCTGCGTGTTGGAACCCTCTTGGGGGTCTTCTTGGGTCGTCTTCAGGCGTCTGGTGGGTGTCTGGGGCCTCTTGGGGCCCTCGTGGGGGCGTTCGGCCGCCCTCCTGACCGATTTGGGCCCGTTGCCTAGGCCCAGCAAGGGCTCTGAAACGCCTGGGGGGCCTCTTGCAGGGGCGTCCAAGAGGTCCCCGAGGCCACGGATCTGGAAGGTCCCGGGGGCCTGGGATTCGGGGGGTCCGATTTCGGGGGGGGGGGGGGCGAATAGTAAAGATATCCAAATTGGAATACTTATAGAGTGGTAGCGAGACGGATCAAAACATAATTAGTGGGATGGGTCAATCGTTCACAGGATAGCACACAGGGGGACCAGTGTATAGATTGGAAGTGAGATCGGCAGGGAAAGAGACAGGGAGAGAGAGAGAGAGAGAGAGAGAGAGAGAGAGAGAGAGAGAAAAATAGAGAGAGAGAGAGAGAGAGAGAGAGAGAGAGAGAGCGATACATGTTATAAAACGGGCGTCCGACCCCCCCCCCAGGTCTAGGGGCAGCACTCTTCTCCCCCCTCCGTCACCGCTAACCCAATCTAGCCCGCGGGGTCCGGGGCCAGATGTCGCGCAGTTTGGGCGCTCGTCGGCCGCATCTACAGCGCTCTAAGATGGCCCTCGATGACTTCAAGACGGCCCAGGAGGAACCCAAGATAATCAAGACAACTTTACGAGGACCCTCGAGAGGGCTTGACAATGGTAAACATCATAGATGTTACAAAGGTGTATCACTGATTTCAGCGGTCTCGCTGTTTCGCGCTTCTGACAGCCCAAGACGGGCACAGGGACCTCCCGGGCCTCCCGAAAACATTCCAAGAGGCCAAAGATGGCCCCAATACGACGCAAGAGGCCTCCAAGACGGCACAAGAGGGTTCCAAGAGATCTACAAGGGGACGCCATAAGGGTCCCGAGAGGGGGCCGAGAGGGGTCTTGGGGAAGTGTCCTGGCTGGTAAGTTTCCCAAGGCGCCCCCATGACTGTTTTTGGAGGCCCCAAACAGTCTACCGAGAGGCCCACCCCAAGGAGCAAAGGGGGAACGCTCCTGGCGGCCCCCCAGGGGCCCTTCTGCAGTGGAGACCCATGCCAAGAAACGCCCTGCCTGCCTCCAGGGTGCCCTGGGCTTCTCTTGGGTCTCGATGCTTCTGCGATGGACAGCGTGACGCTCCCACACCAAAAAAGTCAATGGACGCCCTGGGGCCTCAGGGTCGGGTCTCTTGTGGAAGGTCTCTTGTGGAAGGTCTCATGTGGCCAGGCCCCTGCTGCAGATCGGTCGTCCCTCCTCCCTTGCCCCCCCCCCCGCGGACGGGGGCCCGGCGGAGCGCACCGGCGGGCCGGCGGCGGTCTGTGGCGCAGGTGGGCGCGGGGGCGGCCGTTCCCTTCCCTCGTTCCCTGCCGCCTCCCTCGCGCCTCTGCCGCGCCAGCCCTCGCCCCCCGCTTCCCTGGCACAGCTTCCACCGCTTCCGTCTGTGTTGCTGGCGGCAGCAGGGGCCAGAGAGCGGAAGGGCAGGGGAGGAGAAGCCGATGAGAAGGAGGAGGACTGTGGGGAAGAGCGGGGCGAGGAGGATGATGAAAAGGAGGGCGACGAGGAATGAGACGAATGCGACTACGAAATAGAGCGTAGGCGTGGGATGAGCATGAAGATTGCCTTAGACTAGGCCCTAAGCGAGCGCGAGAGGTTCTAGCTTCACTGAAAAGATGATTCCAAAAGCGCCTTGAAGCGGCCAAAGATACCCAACAAAAGCCCCAAGTGGGCCTCGAAGGGGTCCCGAGATGGCCCACCGTTGCCCCTGAGAGGATCCCAAGAGGGCCGAAGTGGGCCCCTGGAGAGGACGGAGATGGCCCAACACGGTCCCAGGATGGCGCAAGACCGAGATGTCCCGAGAAGGTTCCAACACTCCCCCCAAGAGGGCTGCAAGACTGCCGTGTGAAACCGCAGGAGGGCCCCAGGGGGTTCCAGTAACGACCACACAGGGAACCAAGGCAGCCCAGAGGTGGCCGCGCGAGGTCCCCACGACGGATTGCGAGGACGAGGGGGAGAAGATGCGAGAGGGGTAGTGCAGGATGAACGCCTCGCCTGTCCACTCCCAGGACTCTTGCCCCCCCTGGTACCCTCATTTTCATCCTCATCCTCGTCGTCCTCATCATCCCTCTTCCTCGTGTCCTCTTCCTCGCCCTCCTGCTCCTTCTCCTCCTCTAGCTCGTCATTCGCATCATTCCCATCTTCATCATAGTTCTTCCTCATCCTCCTTCCTCCCCACTTTTGTGATCCTCCTTCTCGTCCTCCTCATTCCTCCCACTCCTTCCCCCCTCAATCCTCCTTCCAGCTCCCTCCTCTCCTCCCTCCCCCTCTTGATCCACCTCTCCACCTCCCCCCTCCCTCGCCCACTTACCCCTTAGCTGATGGACAGCGCGGAGGCGGGGGAACAGCGCCTGGAGGGAAACACGTGATCTGGGGCGGCCTCTCCCCCCCGCCAATTTCTATGAGTACGGCCGGACCGAGATCAGATCGAAGCCGGTTCGGGAAGGGTACCTCAATGTGATTTGTGTTTGTTGGGCCGGTGGAGGGTCTCGTGTTCTTGAAGGATGTATTTCTGTCCCAGGTCCGACCGTACAGTGCCTTTTTGAATACATGCTCCGCGTGCGGATCATGTATTGAACATGCAGGCATTCAGTATTAAAAACAACGATGAGCTCATGCATAAATATATTCATAAATTAGTCATGTATTAAAATCAGATATGTTTAAACATCCAATGTCTGTAAAATTGCCCTGTATGGGCCCCCCACCAAGATGGGCCAACCCCCCGTGCGGGCTTGGTGTGACTGGTGGGTGGCTGCGGGCAGAGTGGAGACGGGCCCCTCCCTTCGTCCCCTCCCCCCGCCCCACCCGTTGGGCCACACCTGGTGGGTGTGTTGTGGCCTCTGCGCCGAAGGCTTCCCGGAACCCTTGGACCCCTCCCCTCATCAGGAGCGAAAGAAGGACGTACACGTATATGAATCCACGCTGGTTTCGAGAGTACTGTACGCATTGCGCAAATGTTGTATAACGCGGCCAGTCTCGCGGATCGAGGGGCCGTGTTCATGTACATAGCTGGGCGCGGACGTCCCTTGTGGGCTCCATACCTCAGGGGGATGGGGGTTGGGGGGCGTGGCATCCGTCTGCCCCGGGTCATGCACGCTTCCGCCGGTGCATGCCTGAGCTCCTGCCGCACACCGCTCCCCCCGAGCCCGAGCCCCGACTCGCGCGCCCTTTCCGCAGCGAGCGCGCCCGGGCTCCGAAGCCCACGGCCCCCGTGCCCTCGGGCACGCGACTGCTCTACTCTTCTGCGCTGGACGTGGCTCGCGGGCACCGGCCCTGGAGCCCGGAACCCCTGCCCGCCCAGGGGGGCCCCAGGGCACGCCCAGGGGGCCCCCTGCCCGCCCGGAGCCTCCCGGGAGCAGTCGGGGCGCGGAAGAAGGAACCCTTTTCGTCGGGGAGGGGCTCGGTGTTCCTGGAATGTTTCGCAGCTTGCCTCGGGTTTTTTCCTGAGGTTTTCCGTGGGAAATCGAGGTTGAACTTATGGGACACAGGGGCCTCGTTCCTTATTCAGGGCTCCTTAGGTCGACGCCCCGCCTGTAGGCTCCTGCAGGAGGCCCGGAGGCGACCCGGCTTGCCTCGGGGGTGGGCAAGGCCCCCCCCCCTGACGCGTCGATTAGTGAATCGTCCGTTGTCGGTTCTCGAGAGGGCGCCGCGGCCGTCCCCGTTTGCCCCCCCTCCTTCACGCCAGAGGCGGCGCCCCGCCCGAGAACCCGGAGAGGAGCGAGAGGCATCGAGGGCCGAGGGTCAAGTCGGGCGTGTCCCTCGACAGCAGGAGTAGCCAAGAATAGTCCAAATCAATAGTCAGGGGAACTATTTTGGGGGAAGTTTTACATACTTGAATACTTTGTGCCGTTTTTTGAATCTTCCCTCGAAAATCGGCCTGCAGGGGGACAGGCCCGACTTAAATCGAGGGCCGAGGGTCCAGGATGCTCCAAGATGGTTGGTTCCAAGGCGGCCCGAAAGTGCCGCAAAACAGGGCCTCGAGAGAGCCGCCCGTTTCGCGAAAGACCCGACAAAGAAGCCGGGTGGGTTTTGCGCGGGGAGGCGAGGGCACAGCGTGGCAGATAGTCGGGCTCTCCTCGCTGGTCCTCAGCCTCAATCCTCCTCCTCCTTCTCCTCCGCCAGTCTCGGCCTTGTCATCCACCTGCTCTTAAGTCGGGCCTGTCCTCTACAGGGGGAATATTCAAAAATAGTACAACAATAGTCTGGGGACGATTGTTTCAGTATGTTTCGCATGTGTCGAACATGTTTTTTTAGTATTTCTTCTCTTTCACCCAACATCCGCCTGTAGGTGGACAGGCCCGACTTATCCTTACAGCGAGCGGCTTGAATAAGGAACACTTACTTTTCAAAGGGGGCTCGGTCGTTCCTTAGGTTTGCATGCGTTATTTACAGTTCCTCTTGCGTATGCGTTATTCCTTGGGATTAAAAAGAGGCTTCGTTCCTTATGTGTCGTTCCTTAGGTCAGGCCGATGACTGTGATCCTCCCCCTCCTCCTCCGCCACGCTTGGCCGCGTCGTCCGCCTGCTCATCCTTCCCCCCCGTCCCCGCGCCCCGCGGCGAGGCCGGCAGGGGCGCCTGCTACCTCCTCAGGCCGCGCCCCGCCCCCATCCACCCCCTCTTCTTCGCTGCCGTCGGCGACCGCGATATGTTTTTGGTGTGGTTTTCTCTCTCTTTCTCTCTCTCTCTCTCTGTCTCTCTCTGTGTCTCTATCTCTCTCTGTCTCTCTGTCTGTATGTCTCTCAGTATTTGTATATAAGTATGTGTTTCTCTCCCTCTCCCTCTCGCTTTCTCTGCCTGTCGCTCTCTGTCTCTCTCTCTCTCTCTCTGTCTCTCTCTTTCTCTCTCTCTGTGTCTCTCTCTCTCTCTCTCCCTCTCCCTTTCTCTCCCTCTCGCTCCCTCTCTCTCTCTCTCTCGCTCGCCATATGATGCAACATATTGCCATCTGTAAAATATTGACGTTGTTCATTCTCTCTCTCTCTCTCTATGTACATTTTGGTGTTGGTCATAGCGCTGGCGTCTGCGATGATCGTGCTTGGCTCGCTGTGGGTCTGGGTATGTTCGCTTTCGCTGTCAATGTCCGCAGCAGCGTCACTGGGCGCAGTGGTGGAGCAAGGGTCCTGGTCCGGCTGGTCCAACCCCCCCCCCCCCGCTCTGGACCCCCGCAGGTATTGTTGTGCGTGGGCTGGGCCACCGTGGGGGGTGTGGAGGTGTGCGGTGCTGGAGTTGTACGCCGCTCAAACCCATTAGCTTTTGGCTCAACTCCCGTACTTGGCTCGCATGCGGCCCTTCCAAACGTTGATGCGACGTTTCTTGGTCGCAATGGACAGGCGTCTCACCTGCGCGGCCGTTGCGGCGATGGGATTGTCGAGTTGGATGTCGGTTGGGAGCTCGTCACGGCCCCATGCGCGTGGGAACTCGTTGCGTCTGGTTGGTAGGGCAGATGATTGTTGCACGGACGTCAGCGGCAATCCAAGCACGCTAGAGGTTGGCCCATTGAGCGAGGTTTTTGTTACCGAATTCGGTTGCGCACTGGTGGTGGGCCACCAGCCCCTTCCTGATGTCCATAAGTTGCCCAGAGAGCTGTTCAAGGTCATGAATAGCGCGGTTAGACGTGCCGTGCTCTGGCCTGGCCAGCGGGGCAGCGTACCCATCCTTGAACATTCAGACGTTACCGTGCATGGTTTATTTTGGTCCCGGGGTGGACATCTGGCGGTGAGCTCAGTACGGTAGTCGTGAGCGGCTTGGTTCGCGAGGTCGAATAATTTGTCCACATCGTCATCCTCGTCAGCGGCCACCGCTCGCGGGCGGTAAGCGTGTTAGATGGAGTCACCCAGTGCGTGTTCATCACTGTCTATGACTGAGTAGGCCAGTGGGTAGGGGATGACGGCCTTGAGTCTTCTCGCTGGCTGTATGGTGACGTCCAGGTTGAGAGAAGCGGGGGGACCTAGGTGTTGTTTGGTGGAAAGGTCGCGACGCAGGACGAAATTGATGACGAGCTGCCTGCCCTTGGCGTTGGTGATCACGTAGGCATTTCGGGTCCTCCCTGTTCCTGGCGCTCTTCGGTCCCAGTCGACGTGTTGATTGTAGACGCACGCCTTTCCACCGGGATATCCTGATGCCACGAGGAAGTACCCAAGGTTGGAGGCTGGGTGAGGATGGTTGACTCCTTGATGTCACTACGTGCGTCGATACAGATGGAGTCTGGTGCGTCGCCGACCCTGTTTGCAGCCTGCCAGACCTGGTGGAAAAGGGCACCATTGTCCGCGCCAGATTCGGCGTAGACACACGCGTCGTAGATGCCGTTGATGCCGTTATTGGTGCAGGCCTTCCGCTTCCGCATCCGCCTCGTGGCGTGCATGTCGGGGATTGGGGTCTGAGGCCTCGGTCCATCGCGTGGTCGCGAGGAGGGCATCCACCGCGGGATTGCCTCGCCCGGTGTCGACAAGGCTTCCCTGGGCAGCGATGCAGACGCCGCCGTGTTTGGCAGCCGTGGATCGGACCCTGCGGTCGCCCGTCCCGCCACCCCCACCGTGGCCGTTAAATTACGCTTCACGTTGTCAAACGCCGGGCTGCGCCCCCAGACAGGTATCAAGACGCCGTCTTCTGACGATCGTATGCTCCTGTCTAAATTGCGAATGCGGTAAGCTGGGCGTCGGGCTTCCCGGAGAGCGATGCTGGTGGCAACGCAGTGCTCTCGGAGTGCGTCTCAGACCCCCCCGTTGGCGCCTGGGCGGTGACGTCGACGCGGGCGAGGTGGGCCCTCTGAGGGCCACCATCCTCAGTGGAGCTACAGTCAAAAACCCTGATATGGACGCGCGATTTTGCTCAGGGTACCCTTGCGTCCTTGCTCTTCCTTGCTCCTGCGTCCTTGAGGTTTTCGTCGTCCGCCGCCCCAGGAATCCCAACTCCGGCTTCCAAGGGCCTTGCGTCCTTGCCGCGCGTCCCTATTAGGGTGTTTGATTGTAGGGCAGCCTCCAGTCCTGCGGATCGGGCGGATTTTGGGCAGGGCCTGCACGGAGGAGGAGGAGGAGGAGGAGGAGGAGGAGGAGGAGGAGGAGGAGGAGGAGGAGGAGGAGGAGGAGGAGGGGGAGGAGGAGGAGGAGGAGGAGGAGGAGGAGGGAGGAGGAGGAGGAGGGGGAGGAAGGCATGGCATCGTGCCGGTGGAAGAGCCCAGGCCGGCGAGAAACGCGCGCGCCTAGGAGGAGCGCGGCGCGCGCCCAGGCTGCGAAGCACACACCTGCCCTGGCATCGCCCGGACGTGTGCATTTTTCCCCCGGCGAGGACCATCGAGGAGCATCCTTGATCATTTGGCGAACAAGTCCACGCACGAAGCTGAACAAAAACACAGGGAATGGACGTCCGAGCGATGGCCAGATGCCGTGGGCCCCCGGCGACCGCGCCCGGGGGGGGAGAGGGGTGGGGGGGGGCTTTCCCGCACCGAGCTCTCTCCAGACCAGGCCCTGGCGCGACGGTCTGGTGGAGGAGGAGGAGGAGGAGGAGGAGGAGGAGGAGGAGGAGGAGGAGGAGGAGGAGGAGGGGGAGGGGAGGAGAACCTTTGGTCCAGGTGCGCCAGGGGGACGACGCGGCAGCGACGGCGACCGACCGACCCGGCAGCGGCGACAGGAGGTGGCACCCAGGGGGGCGGGGCGCCGTCGTCGCTGCCGCGCGAGGGGTCGCCGCTCCAGTGCCCGCGCGCGTGCGAAGCGGCCGCGGCAGATCCTGCGCTCGGGCCCGCCTCATCCGGGGCCTCGCTGTCCGCCCTGTCCGGCCGGTCGTCGAGCAGCAGGGTGGCGCAGTCGACGTCGGGGCCGAAGTCCGGGCCGAAGCCTGGATCTCAAGGCTGACTTGTACGGGCCCTCTGTACTCATCGGTCGTTGAAAGTAAGTAGTTTTGGAGCCCCACGTTCCAATCTACTTGAAGCGCCTTCCTACTTCACTGATCGAGTTGCTTCACCTTTCCCGTCCTCCTGAGGGTGCGGACGGAACCCAATCTTTTTGTCAGCGCCTTCCTGCTTCATGTTTCTGCCTGCTGCGTCCGACTCCGACCGATGGGTACTCTGGGCTCTGGTGCGCTTGAGGTCTGCACTGGTCGGTTGTCGTGGCCTCTGTGTCCGTCGGCGACTTCGGTTTTGGGCCCCACCTTCGAGCCTGGTGGCTCCGGGCCCGGCGTCCCTGGATCTGCCGCGTCCCCGCTGTGGAGTGCAGCGGCGCAGACGTTCCGTTCGAGCGAGGCTGCTCTGGGGCAAGGCAGGGTTGCGCCGTGTCGACTCGCCGCGACGCCGCCTGCGGGCGGTCAAGGTTGAACGCCGCCAGTTGCCCAGAATCGGCCCAATGTGGAACGATCTTGCGATCGAGAAACCGCCGACCGTTCAAGGTTGAAGGATCCGCGCGGTGTCAGGAACCAACGCTGGGGTCGTCACGACACGAACCCGCCGCAAGGAAGTCTTTTGGCAGCGTTCGCCTGTTGGCTGGGGCTGCTCTGGTGCGGGAGGCGCGCGGCGAGGGCCTTTCAGAGCCACGGCGCGCGCAGGTACCGAAGGGGGATGAGATGGGGCAAGCATCAGTACCGCGTTGTGTGGCGCGGCTCCAGTCTTCCCAGGCGGCAGCGGATGTTCGGTGGTACGTGTCACCGCTCGCCCTTGGCACAAGTGCTCTCGAGCCACGACTGGAGAGGGATAGGGAGGGAGGGATGGATATATATATATATATAGAGAGAGAGAGAAACAGAAAGAGGTACTCGATTGAGCTTCGAGGGAGACAGGAGACAATCTGCTCATCCCCCTCATTCGGCAGCGTCGCCCGCAGTCTTCCTTGGGCAGCAGTCATTGCCTTGCATATACTCGTTGCTTGCATTGCCCGATGGCTTTATGCCGACCAGAAAGGCGATGTGGCGTTGCAGCTGGTTTGCTGGCCACGCTGTTGCTGCTGCTGGTGCTGCTTGTTGCACACCGCCGTGCAGAGGAGTCTCTGCGACATCATCCCCAACCCGTGCTGGGACGGCTACTACATGAGCCAGGACCGATCCCGCCATCCCCTCGCCCATTGCCGAAGTGCCATGCCGGCCAAGCGTGGGCCAAGGGGCCGCCCTGCGCGGCAGTCCCAGACTGCCAAGCGTCGGTACAGAAATTGGCGCGGCTGTGTTTTTTATATGATCCTGCCTCCCTAATTAAAGCTGTGCGTAGCCCGCCTAGCTTTTAGCGGAAGAGGTTCGCTCTCGCCCCGCATATCAAAAAACATGTTTTTAATATGATCCCGAGTGTTGACCTAGAAGGTCGGTTGCCAAAACCATCCAAACAACGATTCGCGAAGGCAGAGCAATCTCGGCGAGAGGGGGCCGCTGGCTCCCTCCAGAGCCCACGCCGTGGAACAGACACGGCGTCAGCGCTCTGGCTGGCGCGTGCCACCGAGCTCGGCGACACATCGACACACCACGGAAAAACGTCATCCCATCCTCGTCTGTGTGCCTGCGGCAAATCTATGGGAACAAAAAGTGACACAAACATAAAACCTCCATGGTCCGCGCGGATTTCTCGGATCGGCGCTGGACCCCCCTCCCTGGCGCGCGGAGCGCGCCAGGGGCGGCGCCTGAGGCGCCGCCATGGGGCCCCAGCGCCGATTCGAGAAACCCGCGTGGACCTCCGAGTTTATATGTTTATGTCACTTTTTGTTCCCCTGAAGTCCGCAACCGTGCCAGCGGAGCATCCCGTGTCCACGACCAGCGATCACGTCCGCATATCCGCGCCCTCGCGGTCCGGATTCCAGGGCGCGGTCCCGCGGCTGCGCGGTCGCGTCCCGCGCGCGGCATCCGCGATCAAAAAAGCGCCCCATACCCGGTGGGTCGTGGGCCGAGGGCCCGGCCCGCGAGGCCGCGGACACGGGCATGCTGTTCGCACACGATATGTGGCGATAATCAGAGCACCGCCAAGAAGGCTGTCACTTGTGACACCTCTCGTCACCATGTTTTGGGGAGCTTTCCTGGGGGCTAGTTGGGCAGTGTTGGGGCTGTCGTGGGATCCTGTGGGGCAGTCTTCGAGGTCCCTCGAGGCCCTCTTGTGCCGTCTTGGGGCCCTCGTGTGGCCCTTTTGAGCAGTCTTGTAGCTCTGTTTGTCGTCTGGAGGATCTCTTGGAGTCGTCTTGAGCCGTGTTTGGTTCCTCTGGACGCCCTCTTGGGCCAGCTTGGGGTTTTCTTGAGGCCGTCTTGGGCCGCCTGTGGGCCATCTTCGGGCTCTCAGTGCGCCCGTTGGCACTACAGAAGACCGCACTTGGAATTAGATGGTACGACTCGCAGGAACGTAGTGTTCTGGGTCTCCTGAGGAGCGTCCTTGGAGTGTCTCGGGGCACGTCGGAGGCTGAGCGCGTGCTGGGGGGCTCTTGAGTGCGTCTTGAGGTAATGTTGGGCCACCTTGGCGGCCTTGGTGGCCTTCCTGGACCAGCCTGGAAGGCCCCGAGAGCTCGCGCGGGGCCCGAGGGAGGCGCCAGGCCGCCCAGGGAGTCCCTCGGGAGGGAGCGCGACAGTACACGCGACAGTGCGCGAGCCCGTTTTGAGAGGGACTCACGCCAGAGTTCCTCCTCCTCCTCGTCCTCCTCCTCCTCCTCCTCCTCCTCCCACTCCTCCTCCTCCTCCTCCTCCTCCTCCTCCTCCTTCTCCCCCTCCTCCTCCTCCTCCTCCTCCTCCTCCTCCTCCTCCTCCTCCTCCTCCTCCCAGTTGAAGGCGGAGACCTGTGTCCGACGCTGGAGGGACTTCAGATAGCTCGAGGCCCACACGCTGGAAGAGGCGACACACACACACACAAACACACACACACACACACACACACACACACACACACACACACACACACACACACACACACACACACACACACACACACACATACACACAGTGCGCGACAGCGCGGCGTTTTGCCCTGATGTGCGCCCGCTGGGAGGCGCAGCGCGTGCCGTGCTCAAGGCGTCCGTGCCAGCGCGCCGCGTACTGGCTCGACGTGTTGGCCCACGCTTGGGCGAAGGCATCGCGCCAGAGCCGCGTGTCTGGCCCGTGCGTTGGGCTCTCCGTGTCGGCACGCCCCCGGCGGCGTGCTGCGCGTCGGGGCAGTCAAGTTCGGGCGGAGCCAGGGCGAGAATTCCAGAGCGTTCCAGAGAGTTCCAGGACCAGGAGGAGGAGGAGGAGGAGGAGGAGGCGGATGAGGAGGAGGAGGAGGGAGGAGGAGGAGGAGAGGAGGAGGCGGAGGAGGAGGAGGAGGGCCGTTCCAGAGCGTTACGGAACGCTCTCAGAGCGTTCCAGAACGCTCTGAGAAGGCCGCGGCGCCCGAGACATCCTCCAGAGCCGCAGGATCTCAGAGATTCTCGATTCATCCTCACCCGATGTTTTCCTCGTCCTGGCTTCGTCTTACTGGGCGGGTCCCTGAGAGGACTGACGGAAGCTTTGCCAGGCAGGCAGTTCTTGGCAGTCTACCACGCCTCAACGCTCCAGAGGGCCCGGAGGTGGATCCCCGACGCCGCCGACGACAAGGGAGTAGGAGGAGGAGGAGGAGGAGGAGGAGGAGGAGGAGGGAGAAGGAGGAGGAGAGGAGGAGGAGGAGGAGGAGGAGGGACAGGGAGAAGGAGAAGGAGGAGGAGGAGGAGGAGGACGAGGAGAAGGAGGAGGAGGAGGAGCAGGACAGGGAGGAGGAGGAGGAGGAGGAGGAGGAGGAGGAGGAGGAGGAGAGCAGAGAGGAGGAGGAGGAGGACGAGGAGCCGAGGGGTTTTATCGAGGCCGGGATTCGAGCAGCCCGGGCTTCGCTTTCTGGGCACGCTCCGCCGTGCAAAGCTACCCGTGGGCCTTTCAGCAGCGGTGTCGAGGCTACCCTCAGGCTCAGCATGTCTATCGATGGGCTTTTGAGTGGTGCCGCCCATGTGTTGGAAGCTGCTCGCCAATCCACCTTTGCCCGAGAACGGTCGCGCGCGCCATCGAGCGTGTGATCGACGCACGGTGCTGGCAGCGTGTCGCCTTGCATCTGCAGCAAGATGAGCTTCATCAGTTTGGCCCGTTCTTTACGCCAGTTCGTGACGGCATGCGCAAGCTCGAGGCCTCTGACAATGATGCTGGCGAAGGGCCCAATCATGTGCAGTTGTGTGTATCGCCGTTGTGGGTATCGCCTTCGGTGGATCTCTTTATGGGGCCACGAAGCCTGTAGAGGGTGTGGCGGAAGGTGTCGGGGACGCAAGCGGACATCGCCACTGGGGCCTTCGGTGGAGCTCCCTTTGGGGCCACTCAGCGCTGTACTTGGTGGGGGAACACATGTGGTCACCGCCACTGGAGCATTCGGGCATTCGGTGAAACTCCATGTGGGGCCACGAAACGTTGTACTGGGTGGGAGAAACGCATGCGGGCACTGCCACTAGGGCCTTCGGTGGAGCTCCCTATTGGGCTGCGAAACGCTGTACTGGGTGGGGGAAACGCATGCGGACACTGCCACGAGGATCTTCGGTGGAGCCCCCTATGGGGCCACGAACAGGTGGCGGCATGTGAACGCAGCTATTGGGGCCGTCGGTGGAGCTCCCTGTGGGGCCACGAAGCTTGTGAGGGGTGTGTCAAAGTGCTCAGGTGGCGGCATGTGAACGCAGCCATTGGGGACTTGGGTGGAGCTCCCTATGGGGCCACGAAACGTGTGAGTGGTGTGCCAAAGTGCTCAGGTGGCGGCATGTGAACGCAGCCACTAGCGCCTTCGGTGGAGCTCCCTATGGGGTTACGAAGCGTGTGATGGGCGTGCCAAAGAGAGGGGGTGGCGGGAGGAGGAGGAGGAGGGGGGGGAGGAGGAGGAGGAGGAGGAGGAGGAGGAGGAGGAGGAGGAGGAGGAGGAGGAGGCGAGGAGGAGGAGGAGGAGGAGGAGGAGGAGGAGAGGATGGGAGGCGGAGGAGGAGGATGAGGAGGAGGACGCGGGGACCGTCTCTTCAAAACGGGGACCCACCACCACAGGATGGTTCGCGAACAGCTTATGTTGTGTCGGCCGCTTCTGGGGCAATGGCCTCAGGCCACGGAAGCCGCCGTGCAGTTCATGGGCGATGCCACTTGCCAGTTATGCCGCTAGGCCTCAGGGACTCTCGTACACAGACGCTTGTCCTGTCCAGGCCATCTCGAGGTTTTTCAGGCTGAGACTCCCAGCATGGCAGGACCCATGCTGCAGGCTACCACGCACCCTCTCGCCCGCTTGCTCGCTGAGAGGCTGCTAGTGCCGTTGGCTGCGTCGCCCCCTGATCCTTCCCATCCTGTCGCTGAGGTCTGGATGAAAGGTGATCCGAGCATGCTGGAGGGTGATCTCTTTTTCGACGGAGGTCTTCTGCCGTGGATGGGCTCCAAGCTGGTTTGTATGACATTGCTGCGTGTGAGCTCTGGGTTTTCCTGCAGGCTCTCAAGCTAGCACTCCCGCAGGCCACGTTCTGGACCGAGAGTACGTTCGTTCCCGATGGCATGTTTCTCCGAGGGCGTGTCCAATGCTGCTCCAGTCGTGTAGCGTGGGCTGACTTGTGATGTGTAGTGTGGATTACCATCGAAGACAGAGGCGACCTGGACGGCCTTTGCCTGCACAAGGTTAACGCTCACACCATTGATGCGGACCTTGAAATAGGAGAGAGCGTGATCCACCGCTGCTTTACTGTGGAAAATTCCCCCCCCTCTTCCTCCGGAACCCGGGCCTCCCCCCCCCTCCGAAAATCCCCTCCCCCCTGCTGGACCCCCCCCCCCCTTCCCCCTGCAAAAAACCCACCCCTCCCCCTAACCCTCCCCCACACCCCTTCAGAAAACGGGGGGGTCACTACCGGTTCGAGCCCCCCCCCCCGATCGGAAAACCGGGAGGGGGGGTCACTACCGGTTCGACCCCCCCCCCCCAGAAAACCAGAGGAACGTCACTACCGGTGCGAACCCCCCCACACGCAGGGGTCACTACGGGTTCGAACCCCCGCCCCCTCGAAAACCGGGAGGGGTCACTACCCCCTCGAAAACCGAGGCCGGGCTCTTCTGGGAGTCCCCTTGGCCGCACAGGCCGTATCAAGATGATATTTGATATGGTCGAAATAACGTCCGACCTGTTGGCGATGCTGCTGTTCCATTTACATGTATAGATATACATCTACGCTCGCACACATACGCATAATATACACATGCAAGAAAAAGCTATATATACACATACGCATGCACAGATGCACGAAGACGCACGCGTGTACATAATAGTACGTCAATCAATGGTGCAACAAAGTACAGCAGTCGTATATACATACGCACATATGGACAGACATAGACGTAGAGAGATGAAGCGCAGCTTAGAACCGTCACTTGCATTGATTTTTGGGCGGCTTTTGACGGAATGCATCTGCGCGCGCCAGAACCGCGACAGGCCTTTACAGATGGCGGCGCGCATGCTCACCCTCCCTACACGCACGTGGAACACCGTCGCTTTAAGCGCACGGGTAATGCCCACTGGGTTTCTTGTGAATCTTACTGGCGGCTGCCGCTGGGTGCCCCAGGTGATCAGTGTCGCCAGCAGACAACATTGAGTTGTGCTTGGCAACGAAGTACAAGACCAAGAAGCGGTGGCGGCTGGCCGACATCTCGTTGAAGATCCGCGAGTAGCCGCGAAACCATGAGAAGCACTGCTCTGCCACCTGGGTGTTAAGTCCGCTGATACGCAGCTTCAAGCGATGGATGAACAGCTGGGCACGTGCTTCTGGGCGCGCAGCCTGTCGACGACCCAGTTTTTAATCTGATTGAACTGGTCGTCCAGGACAGGAGCGCCGAAGGCATCGCCGAGCATGCCCTGTCGTATATGAAGCAGTTGACCTTCGGATACTGCGGGAGAACCCGGAGGATTGTGGACTTGACCACGTCGTTGCCCTCTGGCGCGGACTGCTCGGTCACGGCCACCACGCGGCCGCTCGTGGTCAGAAGCATGAACCACCCGTTGTTGTGGTGTAGAGACCTCGGGGCTTTGCGCTTCGTGCCAGCCTTGGTCGCCGCGGGCCTCTTAATCACGGCGGCCTTCTTCGCGACAGGCTTGGGCTTGGAGCGAGTCTTCGCGGCAGCGGGCTTTTTCGTCAGGGCCTTCCCAGCGAACTTCCGAGCGGCCGAAGGCCTCTTCAGCACTTTCCCTCCTGGAAGGCCGCAGCCGCCGTTGCAGCGCACCAACACCTTCTCGTGGCCGTCGCCCACTAGCTCAGTAACGGAAGCGGAGTTGGCGGGCGGATAGACGCGCCGGTGGAGGTGCTCGTCGTATGTTCTCAGGGCGCTCTCGTTGATGTCCTCCTCCACGTAGATGTCAAGATGCTTGTCGAGCGGTTCCAGCTCCTGCACGGCCAGCGCATACATGATAGCATGGCTGTGAAGTTTACGCATGTTGACAGGGAATTCCTTCCCCTGCCAACCGCTGCCGTCGCCGTCGTCAAAGACATCCTTCTGGGCCCAGTCTGCGCCCCTGGCCGAGACGAAGTTCCTGAACAACATTGCCTCGTAGTACCGCACGTATCTCAAAGTGAAGCCGCGCTTACTTGAGATGAAGACGACTCCGGCGCACTCCAGGTCGGCGAGAGTAGCAGCGTTCTTCTTGCGCCCCCCGACCCACACGAAGTTGGGGCCGTATGTCAATCGGCACTTCTTGCTATTGCACTGCCAGGGCGTGACCGCCACTGTCGTCGCGGCGTGGAGGTCATGGGCGATGGCCTCGTGAGTCGTATCGCTCTTCTTGCAGAGCCTGCACCCGCATACGCAGAATTCCAAGTGCGTCTCGAACTCGTCGGCGACGTCCTGCCGCAGACCCTTGCCCTTGGTGTAGGGCGCGCCGCCGCTGCATGAGCCGTCGCTAGCCGATCCGCCCGCTTTCAAATCAAGGAGCACTTGTTCCTGCGTGTTTGGCGGGAGCACCACGGCCGAAAGCTTGAACTGAGCAAGAAACTTGGAGTCTGCAGACGCGGACCAGCACCGACGCACGGTTGAAATCTTGGTCTCGCACGTTTTCTCCCCCACGAACACATGGCAGACATCGTCCTGGAGCAGGGTCGCGGCCACGCACTGCGGGTGGCCGCCATTCTCGGTGTGGATCAGATACCTGCCCTCTCCAGTCGGGAAATCTAACGAGGGCGCCAGGAACTGCTTCATGAGTTTGCTGCAATCTTGGTACGTCCGCACCTTGCACTCTGCAGCGTCCTTGTTCGCCTTGTTGCGCTTGTTCGCCATGGTCGCCGCCGCGGCGACGTTGTCCGTCAGCCTGGCCATCATGAGGATGATGCAGTTGCCAGCAGCAAGCAGTACCTCCGGAATAGTGGCGTCGTCGCGCGCCACGGTCTCCGCGTCGCCGACGAGCATGTCCAGGAAACGCGCGTGGTTCTTCAAGGCGACCTCTACGGAATACTCCGTGGCCTCCAAGATCGCCTTCTCCGAGTCGGCCTTGAATGCTGCCCGATCCCCGACCCGCCCAGGATCGACCATGACGCCGTCGAAATTCAAACTCAAATGCTGCACGGCTTGTGTATTGATAAAATCGACCCAGGCAGATAAGACGCAATCTTCAACGTAAGTCCACATGTAGAACCACGTAGTCGCAGCCGGGCTCCGCCGAGAACTATCTCTGACGAAAACCTCGTGCATCTCGGGGTTCAATGAGACAGCAAGCCAGCGAAGATAAATGCCCTCGCGCCCCAACGCCAAGAGGAAGCTATTCTCGGAGAGCGCTTCGGGCGGATTGCCGCCACAGAAGACAGATATGCACGTGCTTTTAGCATCCTCTGCGGTCATGCCGAGCTCCTTGCATACTGCGGCCGTGTCCGTGGAATATCTACGAAGAGACTCAAACTTCGCTGCCGGGTGCTGGCCCAACGCAAACTCGACTCTCGCTGCAATCTGCGGGGCCAGCGTGAACGTGCATTTCTTGATGTCCCAATCGTCGACGTCACCCAGCCCGGCCAGACGAGCGGACCAATTCAGGCTCTGGGCACCGAAGCCAACCACATACCTTCTGGACGGCGCATCAAACTTCAACTGATATGTGGTAGTGAATTGTGCTGTCTCAGACACATCGCCGCCCTGCCCCGCGCCCGCCGAAGCTGCGACGTACTTCGCCACTGCGTCTGCAGCGGACTCTTGGGCTCGCAGGGATTGCAGCAGGTCGGCGCGTTTCTCTGCATCGTCTGCAGTTTTCCTGCCGATCCTGCCTCGCTTCTTCGGCCTCTCGGCCCCCTCTCCGCCGAGGTATCTGATGAACGTCTGAACGTCTCCACGTTGTGGACGCGGGCAGCGCTGCGGACGTATTCGGTGAGCTCCTTGCAGCGAATCGTTTCCACCAGCGCTGGTCCAACGAGGTCGCGATCTGCGGGGCCGAGGTCTGCCATGGTTCCGCTGACCTTTAGTAGTGGCACGTATGCTGGATGCCCGCGATGAGTCTTCTTCTCGAAGACCAAATGGCCGCGCTCAAGGAGGCGCGCGAACGCGGCCTTGCGCTCATCATTAGAGCCGCCCACGACATCAGAGCCAAACTTGTGCACAAAGTCGTGCTCGGAGATGCTCTCATAGTTGCGATCCAGAGCAGCCCCTGCAATTCGAACTGCAAGCAAACGATCGGCATCTGTCGCGGCCTGGACAGGGTCGAATGCCGCGGCTGCTGCAGCGGCTGCTTTATCGGGCGACAGCCCAGTCGCAGCCTGCACGCAATCTCTCGTTAATCCGCCGTCGCCGCCCGTGGCATACTCTTCGATGAGGTCCTCTGCGCTTGTCCGCGAGTGCGACTCCATGAAGCCCCGCAGCAACTCCCAGAAGGCCGGTACCACAACCTGGCTCTTGACGAACGCACGCAGGGTTGGATCCTTCACGAAGATCCCCATGCTGGCGGCATCTGGGATGGCATTGACTTCCGCCTCGGACTTGAATCTGGACAAGATCTTGCGCACCTGGGGCCAGGGGGGGGAAGCGAAAGGCACAAATTCGAAACGTATGGTGTATTTCATTAGCCGCCCCATGGCCAGTAGAATTTCTGATGAGCGGCAGCCATGAGAATGCTTCGAGCGATCCCCGCCGCGAACTCCGACACATCGCGTTTTTGCAACGGCAAATCTGACAACCCCAATTTGCCTGCGGGGGGGCAGGGGGGGGGGGGAAGGGGGCATAGCATTTAACAACAACGAACCGAATATCTTCTAATCGGGGCGGGTAGGACGCGAGACCCTCCCCCTATATTATCCTGGAATTCCGTTGGGAAGCAAAATTTTCACGCGCAGCCCGATGACCCAGCTTCGGCGTAGAATACTGTCCAGACTGGTTGCAGATACAGAGGTAAACTGAATGAGCCTGTTCAACTCCAAGCGCTTCCACCCCGCCAGTTCTATCAGGCGCGTCACGATGCCATAGGGTAATCTCGCGGCGATGGGGTCCGCAGAAATATGTTTCTTGAACAGGTCCTCCCTGAAGCCGTGCCTGGAGTTGTCCACCGCCTCCTGCGCTGTCGTGATCAGCTTGCCAATCAGCCCGTCAGCTTGCTTCCGCAGTTCGTCGCCAGAGAAATAGATGTTCGTGTCCAAGAAAGCATGAAGCCCGCTGAAAACGTTGTGGATCAGATGCGTTAAGATCGACTGGCCGACTCCGCCAGGGCCCACAGTCCAGAAGCACCTGTCAATATTGACCCCCTGCAGCGTCAATGCCATCGCCGCAAGTTGGCATTCCAAAGCAAAATCATTCTTCCAGAACGCTTGCGAGAGAAACTTATGCAGTCGGTCTTCGGCTGTCTGGAGCACTGGGTCCTTCAGGTTATGTGGAATGTACACGTAGACATCGTTCTCCGGCGCTTTCTCGACATTTTCCAGGGACCCGTCATCGGCGAAGAAGATGCGCGAGTCTTTGAAGGCAACGCCGGGGCAAGCTGGCCGCGGCGAATGACACCATTCTGAATAATATGTGATCAGCTTCCTCGCCAGTAGCTCCTGCTGGAGAGCCGCCGATATCTTCTGCATAGTTTTGCCCGC